TTGGCCGACACGTTCGTGGCGGTCGATCCGCCACCTCTGCCATTTACAAAATGTCCGAGGAAAAATTGTTCTGAACATTCCGACGTGACGCTCGTCGGTACCATCGGCACACACGTACATCAGATCGAGATGGCCTTTCCGCCGTTTGGGTTGTGAGGTTTTGTGAAGTGTGTGAAGCGAACACGAATATGACTACTTTAATTATGTTAATTCAGAATTAGCTCAAGTTGTACAACTTGATATTAAGTTTTATTTCATTTCCTTATACTCAGAAGTGTAATTTACTTCTGTAGCTAAACAATCGTGCTCGTAGCTAGCTCTTGGTCAGCCTGCTCGCGTTCTACTACGCGGCTCCAGGTTCGATTTCCAAGATTATAGTTTCCTTGCGTTTTCCTTGCAATGTCCCAGTATATGTTGAAAACCGGAATGCGGCGTGGGGATGTCTATGTGTTAACCACACGTACCCCCTTAACCCATGGCCCCGAGCCCGGTAGGTCTGAGGCCCTAGGGGGGGGGGGACAGCCTCAAGGGCTGTCACGCCAAGTATATACATACAAACGTAGCTAAACAATCAGTATCAAGGAGTAACAATTGCCGAGGTTCAAATACTAGGTATTTATAAGAAAGTGCGCAGCATTAGTGGAAGTTGGTACATTTGTGCACAGCGAATAAATTATGCTATATTTTAGAATGATACATTAATACATTAATCTATATAAATTATTTGTATTTGACTTATTTGCGCAAATTATTGTATTTTATGGACTGATTATTTTCTTATGTTTGTAAATAAAGTAATTCATTATGAGGAATTCAATTTAATTACATTCAATTACATTATTTTACCAAATATTTATTTGTATAGTACGTATATCAAACTATCCCCTATAGCTTCACATTTATCGTGAGACATCCTAAAGTACTAAAGTAATATTTTATCTTCCGGCAGGTCGTGATATTGTTTTTATTATTATTATTAACTTGATTGGCCACATTGGACCACTTGAGTCGTTCCATTTCACTTTGGTCGACTGTCGAAGGTTTTTCACACCTTGAGGTGATGATAAATCCTCGAGTTACAATTCTGAATGTTATTCAGAAAGGTGATAATGAGAGATGGAGGATGATGATGATGATGATGATGATGATGATGGGTAAAAGGATGAACACAAGACAACCATGCCCGAGGTGGCACTCGAACCCGCGATCTTTCGATACGAGATCGCTACGGCACTACTGCCTTAGCGATCTCGGCCACCGGATCGGCATAGGTCGGGATATAATATATGAAATCAAGAACTTCAGAATTTTAGGGCAACCAATTTATACAAGAAATTGACAACCACTTCTTTAAGCAAACTAATCGTAAGTAAAGTAGTTGTATGAGAATGACATTTGCATGACAGCATTTATTCCATTTCAATTGGCGGGATATGCTGCTCGCGTCATCGAAAGTAATGCGCTAGGAGTTGTCCAATCAGAAGCGTAGTACGGCGCAAAGATTTCTTCAGTTTGTTTACTTATAGTGAACGGATAATACATAAGTAAGTTTTGAATACTTAAGCAATATAATTAAAACGCTTTGAAATATGGGAATTCGTTGTCAAATTTCTGAGCAATAAAGAAGTGTTTATTCAGGAAAATAGGTAAACAAAAGGTTCTTCTTTTCATTGTTCAAAACATTTGTACAGTTGTTTACTCCCAATTCGACTCACCGTGTTAATTTATTTTGATTATACTTATCATTACCAAACGTATTCCGAGTACAAACATATTATAATTCATTTACGTTCATTGTATCGGGTAATTTTCTAGTTGACAGCTTAGAAGATATTTTCTTGTATATTAAGCAGTTGTCACGACCTTGCAAGGCGGTCGTTTTCAACTTATTATTGTAATTTCAACTAGTTATCCACGCCAGTGGCAGCACTAAAAATGCCAAAGCATGTTTATTTGTTGGGCCTGCTCTGAAAGGACATGCTTCTTACTTTCTCGTATACTACCTATGTAGTTTTAAGAAAGTATTGTAATGTTGCAGCAAAGAGTGTCGTCTTTTGACAGAAAAACTAGTTTCGTAGATTTCGTTTCCTTACTATCGAAAAAGACGATTTTTATTTCTTCTGTATGCAGTAAATTACTTTCTCAAATACGTAGTGTAGTTAGAATCCATTTTCTGTGAAACTTTTGGAAAAATTGTTTTCGGAACATCTGCATTGAATAACTCAAGCGGGTCTTTCACGAGATGGTTAAAGAGTAAATAGAATCAGCAATATAATAATATTAGTATTAAGTATCCGTTACAAATAAAACGGGAAAGTATGTGCTCTTGTAATAACATTAGTTTAGATTTCTTTTATTTGTTTATGATCAGCTAATGAAATTTCGAACACAATCTTTTTAAGTTACAAAAATTGTCATGAAATGAATGTTGATATTTATAAATTCTGCGGTAGTAGCAGATATAACTCACATAACTCACAATCTGATATTCATATTATGACTTGAGACTCGAATATGGCTAATGTTATGCCCAGAAATAGCCTGTTAAGTCGTACATTAGCAAGATGTTTGGATGAAGTCTGATAATTCATTTCGGATATTTTTTTAAATGGGTAAATTACGTAGAATCATTAAGAGAATTAGAATTATATTTACATGTCTTCTTGGTAAGTAGCTGATGTAATAATAAATTAACGTATTTTTGTGTTCTTACCCATTATATAGCCGCATTTTTAATGTGGCAATTACTGCATCTTCTGCAAACATAAATTCATGCTAATGATTAATTAATATTCGTACCAATATCATATGAAGAACAATGCAAATGCGAGAAAATGTTAAAATTGACAGTTGATAAACATTTAACATCACTTTTTATAATAGAATATTTAAACTGTTGCACAGATAAATATCCTAATTAACACGAATTTTACATATAAAATCCCCATATTCGCGAAACAACACAGAAAGAAAATTGATGATTTTATTCTCTTCAAATATTTGCGAAATGAATATTTTTCCATTTAGTATCGTGCGCAGTTACATCTCGTTTGTGAACTTTTAATATCCTTCTCCACTTCTTTCAGTATAAGTCTCTGACTGTATCTTAGTTACTTTTTTATCCTTAGTTACTTAGTTATCCTTAGTTACTTTTTTACCTAAATGCATACAATTTTTTGTTATTTTTTAGAGTAATGTTTTTTAACTCTGTTATTATTAGTGTGAAGAATAAATTTGTTATGCTTGTAAGATTTTTATCAATATTCCTGGCTGCACTCATTGACTTCCGCATACACTGAACTCTACTACAAGATCTCTTAATAGTCACTGGCTTCTGAGATTATATTGGAATATTCATAATCAAGAAAAAAATCGTTACGTATTAAAACAAAAAAATAATTGGTACTTCTGTGTATTACGAACACTAGGATGGAAATATATAATACAATTTTACAAGTCCACAATTTGTGTAGCCTTTAAACCAAAACATATGACAAATTACTTTTCGTACAATTGTGCACTTTGTAAAAATATTCACCATATTAAGAATTTTGTAAAAATATCGCTATGATATATTCTAACACTTATAATTTAGAACACCTTTTTAAGTTAACACTTCTCACCTGCTTTCAAAGGAAGGCGAATGCATCTAGTCGAAGTGAGGATCTCCCGAAAGTCCTGAGTTGACGATAGCGCTGCAACAGTTGAAAAGGCATTTACATATTTTTCTTTCACGTGATATCTACTCTCACTACTCAATAAAATTTTCGAAGTATTAACGCCGCTATCAAGCTTCTACTTACTAAAATTGTGAATGATTCTGATTTGAATTACACAAATATGAGAATATTGTTTTTCTTTTCAATTATATCACCTTGAATATAAGAAAATTACCTCTAAAACATTCATGTGGAGTGCTCTGAGTATGTTATAGACGTGAATACTCAACTTCGAAGAAGTGAAGAAAATAATCGCTTGCGAGATGTGATGCTTCGTATCGCAGCATATTCAAGATCTCATTGACGACGTAGGAGATTTGGAAAATAATCTCGTCTAATGAGGACGGTTCCCTTTAGCTGAGATTCATGTTGAGGGCCCTTCTTTAATCATAGAAACAAGTTGCTACCATTTGGACAGCATGCGAGGGAGGGCCACATCGACGAACCGAGCGTGAGGAGAAGACACAGGAGGGAGCACGTTTACCCAACCAGTGGCGAAGCTTCACAGCAAGCACTGCTTGCACTACTTTTCGGGTTACATATTGTGAAGATTGTTAAATGATTTCAGTCTGTTAAGTATTCAAGCCCTTAGCTTCCATTTGAACGTAGACCAGCAGCTCAGAAGGTGTCCAGCAGCTCCCGTCACAAAAACATACCTCAGAATCTGTGTTTACGTTCATGAAGAATGGCAGGTCCACGTTCTCCGAAAAACGATTTGTCTTCCATAAAATTGAGTTTAAAAGTTACTTCCAGGCGCGAAATTCAAACCTGCTGTCGCAGGGGACTATCATTTATCTTATGTGACACTCATAAGCACAAGACATTCGTTCGCATTGAAGATACGCAAAATATAATTCGAGTATTCTAGGAATTTTGTTAATTTCCATAAGGCTTGGTTTGTATTCAGCGCTCATTGAAAAAGCAACTGAAAATCGTGGTTATAACAAACAAGAAAAATTAATTTTAGTAGATTTAAAATATTAGTACACATGAACCACGTGGTGCTGTTAAAATACCTTAATGCGCGGCAAGTGATTTACCTCACTCGACAGTTTCACCGAAAACGCGCAGAAACGACGCTACGCACAGGCCCGTCGGCTGACGCCGCGCAGGTGTCTGCTGTGTCGCGGCCGCAGGTTTGAATTTCGCGCCCGGAAGTAACTTTTAGACTCAGTTTTATGGAAGGTTTTTTTTTTATTTTCGGAAAAACTGGACCTGCTATTCTTTATGAACGTCAACGCAGAATCTGGGGTATTTTTTGTAACGTGAGCTTCTGAACATTCAGTACATCTCCCTACCAGTACACAAGTCGCCACTTGCAGAGTGCCGGGTGCGCCGCAAGCAACGCTGACTGCTCTCATCCTTCGTAGGGCTCGAACTCTTAGTGACGTCACTCGTCTAAGCGAAGGATTGGGATAAGCTGAAGCATGTTTTGTTAAAGGCAAATTAAGGTTGCAGTAACTGGAGTCTTCGGGCGCTACACGGCAACAATTAATTCGTATGCAAGCCAGTAGAGCCCAGCACAAATCAGTGCCTGCGGCAATGTCCTGCTGCCTAGTAAATTGCAGCTTTTTTTATTAATAGGAAGTTTAGGGTGTGTTTCAAGTGACTGCCAAGTGTGGCTGGGAAATAAATTTTTCAGATTCGTCCATTTGAGACTAGAAGTGACAGTGAAAAAATAAGGATTTTAAACGAAGGGCCACCTTCTCCTGACATACCAAACTTGCGACAAGAAAGTCGATATAAGTAATTTGTGCGACCTTTTCGAAAAATCTGTACCAAACGTTTTCTGGTTAACAGCATGCGCTACTAACAGTAAGGTATATTGTGAAATGCATTTTGTTTGCTGTAGAAAAATCAAAATATATTTTGACACTTTCTGGCTAATGTGATTTAAACAATGTGCTCAATGTTATAAGAGTAAAATGAGAATAGTTGTTCTTGTGGCTGTTCTAAAATGTGTTACAAAATTTTCATTTTAATTATCACAATGTGCGTTTTATTTGATCTAAAGGATGTACTATATAATGACAATTATTTTTGTGACATTATTATTGAATGATAATTTAGTCTTCAAAATTTGGGTTCGCAGCTCGGAATTGCTGCTTGCCCACCAATATGCGGTACGTCTGTCTACTACACAAAACCATCAGAACCTGTCTGTACCCGAGCCTGGAATCGAAAAGGCCAACAAAGAAACGAAAGGACTGAAGGAGGAGAACCACTACCAAATAATCGCAATATTGATTACTATTACAGAAAAGGTATTGAAGCATGCTGCCGATCAACGAGCAAGTGTCATTGAACAAACCGTGCAGGAGGGGCAAGGAGAAAAACTACAGAAAATTGCATGCCTCTAAAACGAATATTTATGTGTTGGTTTGTTCCACTCAAAGTACAACTAGAAAAATTTCATTAATACTTGAGACTTTTTTTCATAACAAAACGAAATAAACATCGTATATTTATTTTTTAAGCATTTAAAAGATCTGGAGTTTTTAAAAAGCGACCAATAATTCGGACGTAAAATCGAGACTAATTAGCTGTTGCTTACCGTATCTGTAGTCATGTCTGTAGACGTCTGTAACCGTGTCTTGTTGTTCGACTAAAGACAAAATATGACTCGTTCAACGAAATCAAGCATCACGAGTTATCTAGCAACGTGTGATAAAATACACCTTAAGACACCTTACACAAAGTCTAAATCTCTGTTTTCAGCTGAAAATAACAATTTTGTTCAAGTTGGCATTATTTATGGATCACTGTTCGGTCGCACTCTTTAATTATTAACCCTGAAACATTAGGATTTGACATTTTTACAACACAAATTTTGTAGTTCTTATTAATTCTTCACAAGAGTAGGAAAAGTTTCAAGTTTTAACGGAGTTCTTTATCGCATTATTGCAGTGATTATGTTACAGTGATTACTGCAATGATTATCGCATTATTTGTGGAACGAGGAGTTGTGGTCTCGCTGTTCGCATAGTCACAAATTTACCCCTCCTTCCATTCACTTTTGCATCCCCGAAAAGCCTTACCTACGCGAGCCGCCCAGGCACTGGATGTGCGCGCGTCTATTTGTGAGCTCGCCCGCAAGCCCCGAACCGCTCTGTAGAAGGGTGGGGATGGGGTGGAATGTACGTGTAGATTTTGGAATTTCTCCTATCGTTCCAAATATATGCTACAATCAATAAATGGATAATTATCTAAAGATACTCGTATTAATGAATTTGTAAGTCAGTCATTCGTCTGCCCGTTCTTTAATTTATTTTCAGATGTCCAAGATATCCAGATTCATGTTCAGATATCCAGATTATTTATTTATTTATTTATTTATTTATTTATTTATTTATTTATTTATTTATTTATTTATTTATAATTAATAAATAAATAAATAAACGCACTCGGTAACTTGTGATGACATTTTGGTCTTATAAAAAAGTATACTACACCTTTCACTCTGAGAGCGTTCAATGCTTTAAAGTACGCAATGTTCCATAGCCAAATTCGTCGCAGATCTAACAGGTTTCACTGTTGCTTAAAATGAACGCCAAATGTTTCATTTTGTAAAGATCACTCGGTCATCGAAAGTTTCTCTTCGTTTTCACAGAGCATAGTACTATTAAAGAACATTATGTGGACTTTTATTTTATTGTGTGGCTTCTATGTTAGACTTCATTAGCCTACTGAAATTCTGCCATAAAATTGTGCACCTAAATTTGAGGCTTGGTTCACAAATTATTAATTAGTAGTTCAAGAACATTCGTAGTTCTTGCACCAAGTCACTGAACTAAGTTTTTGAGTATTTTATGAATATCAATTCTTAGAGTGTTGTCTGTCTGAGAAGAAATTTATTTCAGCTCATCGATAAAAAAACCTTCTCAGAATAAGGAAGATGGAATGTGGAAAAGAATGCCACGCGACAAATTAATTATCCAGATCACGAAAAATTTATCAAGCAAAGAACATTCTAAATTAATATGACCTTGAGAAGAAATAATTAGTTTTTTGTTCGAAGGTTAAGAAAAACTTTGGACTTTCGAATGAATTGAGTAATGATAAATATTCAATCAATGCATATGATAAAAAAGAGATAACAACATGACATATTCTTATTTTAATCTGAAGTGCTAATTGTGTTCTTTTACGAAAATATCAACTTTTCAATTTTTTTTAAAGATCCTATTGTCCACTCCAACATTAACTTTTTTCATGATTTCTTTCCAGGTGTGAACAACTCAGTTTTTAATATTACCAACATTATAAAATTAAATATTTTATATAATACCAACAAAAATAATACCAGCATTAATAATAATACCAGCAATCCACACCCTCGCCCCCAAATTTTCCAACACAAATAATATATATTTTTACCATAAAAACAAACCAACCCAAGTATTTACAACACCAAAACACGACTAATTGAAAATTTCCAACTCCCAAAATCACGCCACCCACAACCAACAAACTTCTCACTTATTCGACATCAATCATAACTATTATTTTATCGCCACAGTTGTTAATTCCATGGCTACAGTTGTTAATTCTAACGCTCCTGTATAGGAGATTTCACCTTACCACTATCATTCATAAAATCAACCATTGAAAATTCACTCACAGACTATACGAGTAATAATCATGCCAGAACAAATCAGTAAACTTTTAATCATCATAATGTGGAAACCAAAAATTAGTTGTGCTAAAATAGCACGTTATTTCTCGACAATACTTTCGCGCAAAGTTTCGCGAAACTACGCGAAATTTTCGAAAAAAATTACATTATTGAGATTATTTAAAAATCTATCTTTATGAATAGATTTCATAGAAAAAATCTCCATATTTAATACTTTAGTTGTAGGAAGACACCGAAAAAAGTTTGAATTTTTGCGATTTAAAAAAACAGTTTTTAACAAACATGAGACGTGCACCATTCTCTTAAACGTCCTTCACAGAATCCAAAAACTAAATTTAATCAAAAACGATGGAGCCATTTATTTGCAAAGGAGCTTCATGCAAGTTTCTTAATATCGGGACAACATGTAATTACTTTTCCGATACCAGATCAGGGCAATTAGTTCTTCTGTCCAAAATTCGCCGTTTTGTCCTGAAGCATTACAGTACTTTCTCTATACTGCGTAGGCAGTAGCGAGAAAGTCAACTCATGTGGTCGTTTCATATTAATTTACATTAACAGAAAGTTTTTCAAATTAATAGTAACAAAATATTAATAAATAATTCTTTCTGATTGTAACTACCAACATCACAATCAGTACAACGGTATGTTCTCGGTAACCATGACCTTAGGGAGGTTTGGAGAAGAACGTCTGAGCGCTTATGATACCTTCGCTGATTCCATACCCTTCCTGACGCACAAATGAGTAAGGCGGGGAAATGAGGAAGCCGTGAAGAACCGCGCGTGATTACATGCTGTTGCGACCGACCGAGTGGTATAAAAGAATTCGTCATTTTGTCAACATTCTCGTACGTTATGTCACAAGCATATTTTATCCTGAGTAAACACTTTTAGAAATATATTGTAGAGGCCAAGCCTGCACAAACAGTAACCCTATGATCAGCTGCCCACCGACTCATTGTCACAAACGTGCTGAAGGCGCTCTGTCCTTGTAACTTCTTTCCAGGTAATTTTATCATTAGTTACCCTTGAAGGAGGATTTACTATTTTCACAGTATACATCAACGTTTAGCGCATTTAATGAACAATCTATTCAGTTTAATGCGGTGCTCAATATTTTACCAACGTGGGAGAGATTTTATATCATGTTCTTTTTAGCTGTCAATATGGCCAAGGATGTAGAACTAATTACTAAAGACGAAAAAACTTTCATTTGATCTCAATGTGAAATTGGTTAAACTATTTTTTATTTTTGTAAGTTTTCAAGCAATTACTGATGTTTTCAAATGTGTATAATAAGGCTTCATTGTAGAAAATACTGAATGTGTTTATGAGTAACCCAGCAATCCTTGCGTCACAGAAATCATGTCAGGACATACGTTTGTAAAATTAGACTGTAAGAGAGTAACTTATATTATATAGTATAGATAGCCCTAATTCCATGGTCTTGCTACAAGAAACCAGTTAATTTGGCAATGACCATAAAATCTGCATGTGGGCGTATTACCTTCACATTACAATGTCTTTGTTAAACAATAACAAAATATTCCTGAATCACTTTTTTTGTGATATAACTATTTCAACTTGAAGCAAAAGTGTTAAATTTCATCTTGACGCCGGTAATTTGGCCAAATTTTGGAATACATTCAGGAAAATTTGAGGCGTTTAACCACATTTCCTTCACATACCCATTACGAGGCTATATTACCTTCATATAACTTAATTCTAATTTTCATCTTAAAATATTGCAGTAATTCAATTAAAATTTAATGTTGTTTTCCATAAAATCTTAAAAGGTGTCAGAATGTGCATTGAAAAATTCCGAAAAAGAAGTATTTTTTGAAAAAAAATAGTTTTTTAAAACTATACAAGGGTGTAATGAAAATTTAAAAAAAGAATGCAGGTAGATAAGACTTTGTTTCTAGACAACAACGACTCTCGTTTTTTCTCTTTCTCTTGATTGCAGGTTCTCATTCAGATTGGTTTTGCGAACACACGCGAATGCGTTTCGAATCGGCCAGGAAGTGATAGCGTTGCCATTTCAGTACGGAAAAGAGAGCCTTCCACAAAAGGAAAGAGGATAGGGGAAGAGGGGTGAGGGTTGAAAGGAAGAGATGCCTTGGCGATTGCCCGGGCGTTTTTCGGGCTCTGAATCCAGGTTTTCGGGTTGCCCCGTTCTATGCAAAATTACTTCTCGTTTGAGGTATTTTCAAATTGTAATTTACTATATAACATACAGAGTCTCCCAATAAATATTACGTGCTTCTAGGGCATAGTGAGTGGTCGAAAATGATCACTTTTTACCACTGAACTTGCAGTGGGAAATGCTATAAAACGGAGTTACACCAGGAGAGGTGGATCAGATGCGGTCATTGCAACTAATGCCTTTGCAGTGCCTCTGACCGGGAAGTCTTAAGTGTGAGAACCGACAGCATCAGGATTTTCGACACTTGTTAAATAGCTACGATCAATTCAGTCGCTGTCTGAAGGGGAATTCTAGCGGCTGGCTGCTCTGATCGGTAGTTTTCCATGGTTTCTTCGAACAATATCAGGTGAATGCCGGAACAGTACCCTAACAAACGAGCCGCGGACCTCGCGCGATCTTTGCTTCCCCTCCCTTGTCCTATCCTCACCCCTTACATGCAGGCAATACACTACCACACTCGCCGGTCGGGATCCCAGAACTTGTGCAGGCTGGTACGGTGCCCTGCTGGTGAGAGATGCGGGAAACTCATCTAGCCGAGAGGTAGGTCGGTGCCGGACCTCACCATCTAGCGGGGGAAGATCATCGCCATCTCCCTCGGTACAAACATACACTACACATACGGGACTAATAACCCTATCAGTTCCCGCGCCGAGAAACACTAATCAAATCAATTTACAGAGTTACGCACATGACATTAGTCCATGATTGTTATGTGACACATTCTGACCCAACAATCAGAAGGATTACTTCTTCGCTGTCCGGGTGACGCCGCGTCGTTGGCAGATAGGCGTCACCCGGACAGCCTAGAAGTAATGGACTCGAGCCGCGGAAGCCTACGTGTACAATCAGAAGGATTGACATCAATCAGAAGGAAATATTACACGTGTAATTTATACAATTTCCCACTACTAAGTCAATAGCAAAAAGTAATCATTTCCGACTGTAAATGCACTACTAGTAAGTGCCCTATATAACACATTCTGAGACATCCCTTTACATCTATGTACATGTACAACAAGACTAGTGGACCCGGCAATGCTTCGCTATTGCAGCACTTCACACGCTATTTATGACGTGATTGTGAATCATGTTTTACACTACTCTCTGCAACATTTCTAAAATATGAATGACTTTCTGGCGAGCACGTCCTGGTTTGGGCAAGGTTGACAAGTATCCTATTGTTAAAACGTTCTCCGTCAAGTTTGGGCATGCGTTCGCTATGACACTACCTTAGAGAAAATTGATTTACCTCTCCGAGATAACGTTCAAGTAATATCGGATGATCAAATTCCGGCCAATATTTCACAATCACAGGGGTAGAATATGCAGCCAACTCGCTTAATAATTAACGGTGCGGCAAGTTGCCTAGTCTTCTATTCGGGGCGCTTGAGTCGTCATAAACACCGATTATCAACAACACCATCACATGTTATTTAATTCAAACCACTATTTTAAAACTCCCGATACTAATAAGAACAAACTGTGAAAATTTCAGGCAAATCTTGCGAGTAGCTTTTGTGTGCATGTGCGACAGACATACGCACATTTCCTTATATATTGATACATGAAAAACGACTACTCATTTATAATGCTCTCAAATCTATTTTTTTTTAACAGAATAAACGACTTTAAGTGAGGAGAAAGTTTATTTCAGGAAAAGGAATCCATAGAATGTAACAGCTTAGCAACTACTGCATCGTGTTCTTAAAGGCGACTTACCGGCGAGAGCGACGACCGCCACTAGAAGACGCATTGCCGCCATGTGCTGCGCTGCCCCGGTCCGCGTTGTTCTGTTGTTTTCCGCTCTGCCCCGCCCCCACACGCCACTCTGCTCTTCCTTACTCAGCGTTCCTTGGCGTTGCTTCGCCTTGCTTAGGGCTGATCTGCGTTGCTCTGGTCTTCGCGGCAACTTACCCTACTCGTTCCGTGGAGCTCTGCTGCGACACGCCCTACGTTGGTAACTAAGTATATGATAACTAAGTATTGGAATACACTGCGTCCTCTACGTCGCCTGACACTGCAGATTTGCACTGCTTCGCCCTGTTCCACTTTTCTCTGCGTTCTTTACGTTGCTCTGCTCTTCGTCACATCCGACCCTACTCGTCTCTGCTAGGAGGAGCTTTGCTGTGACGCTCCGTGCACTGCTTGGCCCTTCTCCTTATTGCTCATTCACTACGTTGCCTGACACTGCTGTTCTGCACTGCTTCGTCCTGTTCTGCCTTACTCAGCGTTCCTCAGCGTTGCTTCCCCTTGCTTATGGCTCATCTGCGTCGCTTTGCTCCTCACCGCAATCGACCCTACTTGTCCCTGATCTGTGAAGCTCTCCTGCAACGCGCCCTGTAATGCACTACACTGCTTTGCCCCTTTCTTCTTCTTCTTCTTCTTCTTCTTCTTCTTCTTCTTCTTCTTCTTACTGCGCGTTCTCTACGTTTCCTGACTAAGTCGCCCTGTTCTTGACGTTCTTTATGTTGCTTTGCGTTGCTCCTGGTCGATCTTCCTCGTCTCTGCTCGGCGTGGCTCTGCTGCTGCTGGCCAGGTGCTGTCCGCTCCGCCCCGCCGCGCGCCAGTGTCTCCACAGTGGCCCCGCGCCCACTCGCTTCGTCGCCCCCGCGTTTCGCCAGTGCCCCCCGTCCGCCTCCCCCGCGCCCACCGGTGTCCTCGTCCGCCCGCTGCGGGCTTTTGCAACGAAAACTGTTTGAAATGTAGCCGGGAACAGAGAAACCTTCCAGCGAAAATGTCTGGCATGTCCACTTAATCACTCGTAAAAAACAAACAGTAACTATTCGTCCACATCCCACGTTATTCTCGCTATGAGAGTCTGTGAAGAAGTGAACCGTTTTCTTTTACTTTCTCGCATACGTAGTACACAGGATGTCCAGACAAACAATCTGTAACCATTCATTACATTCCACGTTATTCTCTCTTTGAGAACCAGTGAAAAAGTAAAGCATTTTGTTTTACTTTCTGGTATGCGTAGAATACAGGACGTCCAGACTTACCCGCATGAAAAGATGCACCTCAGCAAACAGGAATATATAAAATGTTTATGCAAAACATTAATCATAACGCCGAAAACATTGTTTTCTGAGAAGAAATGGTGTCCACATTCTTTACTCACTGTACCGTGCTTGACCGCAATTAGGATCTATTGTATTGGACGGTGTAACTGACGCTAATTGCTTCGTGCTATGACGCGCAACCTTCCCCTGTACCCCCTTGCCCCTGTTAGCTATGATGATTCAAGTCGACCCAGTGCTTGTGTGCTTTTCAGTAACCAAATCTATACTAATAAAGATGAATTCAATGACATATAAACGACACGCCACAAAAACTAATGCTTGAAATTATGAAATTATACAGGGTGTTCTTTAGGATTGTCGCGGTGACCTTGCCAAATGTGGTAAAGAATAATGAAATATGCAGAAAATAAATAATTTAAATATGATGCACCATGATCATTTTTTGCCTGTCGTTGAGAGTACATTGATTACAAATATATTCTACCAGAGGCCAGTAGCGGTGCTGCAGAACCAGTACCCAATACATTCGTTAGAGACCAGAAGCGGAACGAAACATTTTTTATCTCATAGCAAAGTATTATTAAATAAAATGAAAGAAAATTGAAGAAAGTTATTAAAATTTGAACCAATTACATTAAAAATAATTATCTTAAACGCTGTGGTTTATATAAAATTGATCATTTTTCTCTTTTACAAGTATTGGATATGAAGAAAGCCCAGCCAACACCGAATAATTTGCTTTTTTTTATATGAATGAATTTATGGAAAAATTGTAATTTCTTTGTGGTACACTTACGATGAAGTCTACTTTGCCTTACGTGTGCTGCAGAGTCACCCTTTCCAATTAATAAACGGTGAATATATGTACTAGTTTTCATCATGAGTACCGAAAACTCAGTTTACTCAATGTACAGTTAAATTAACTAAATCACTGTGTTAATTGAAACCATTTGTAAATACTTTATTCTACAAAGTTTTTGTGTAATGTTCAATTTTGAAAAAATTGTTCATTAATGAGGGCAAAGTAAAATAATTTAAAGATAACGAAACTTTGTTTATATTGTTGCTTCGGCAACGAATGACCTCAAATAACATTTATCTATATATCCTATATTATACAGCGCATAATAGGCTACGTACACATCAAAATGCTCAGTTATATATAATAATTGTCACTATTTTTATTATCAAATTATTATTACCGTTCGTCATATATTTACAAATAGAACGGTTGAGTAAATCCGCCTCATGTATCTGAGTCTTGAACGTGAGTCCAAGTAGACACTAAGACTGTACATTCCAAACCCGCGTATGACAGGAATAATTTCGTTGCATCGTACTTACCTACTATGATGAAAGAATTGGGATGTTTGGAAAGGAATCCGTTATATGGTTTGCTAATAGGAGCAGTTGATGGATAGAGGAATATGTTTTTTTGAAACTGATTGGTATGCAAGTAATTTCATTAAAGTATTTTGACAAACTGATTGCGATGAGTTTTTCGAAAATTTTGCTGACTGAAATAATTAAACTAAAAGTCTAGTTTACGATTCTTTCCAGGTTCAGAATTACTTCAGCATGGTTCTATTTCCCGAGGAAGTAACCTAGCTTTATGCTTGCGTTAAAAGTAGCTTCTAAAACACCTATAGCTTGATGGAGGATTTCTTCTATAATATAGTTAAGTATTGATAGTGACTTGAATATTTCTTTGACTGTACGCGTTCCATTTGTTTTTTGTTTCTTTCAATGAGATACGTTTTATAGGTAAATCTAATGTGTACTACTCATTGTTGATTTCGATTTTTACTGTAAATTTTGTGTCGAGTTATTTATTTTTGCTGAATGTCGTGGAGTATTGGTTTGCAAAACTTTTTTCTAATTTTATAACTGGGATAATAGATGTTCCTTTTGTTAAGTGACTTATTATTGACCACTGATCTTTCAAAACCGGAGCAATTTTAGAAATTGACATTTGAAATGTTTTGAATCTAATATTTTTCAAGGTTTTTATACATTTGATGTCAATTATTTGTTTGTTTGTTTTTTTAGTGAGAAAACCTGAGACTCTGCCATTTCCGTCTCTCAGTTGGCAATCATTTTCAAACGTTTGTTGGAGATATGGTAATTCTTGAAACCTGATCATGGGATTGGTGTTTCCGTTTTTTTAATTGCATTGTCGTTGAGTAACGCAGAGTTTTCTAATTCAGTTTCTATTTTGATGTTATTAGTAAGTTTTTTGGGAGATTGTTTGGTGGTGAGACGTATTATCTACTGACTTCGTCCGAGGACCGAGAACCATATTTGTACAACCCTATCTTTTAAGTCTCACGCCAGTACCACTGGACGCAGTGCTCACGAACTCTTGTTAACTACTCATATTTACCTTGCCCGCAAGTTCACATGCCTAGTTTCGATTGATTGATTGTTAGTAATTCTGCCAAGGTCATTAGTGCCCAAGTGTAATTGGTGTTTTTCCTCGGGTGGTGGCAGGGATATTTATTTATTTACGTCAAAAACACTTCAAAATTGTATGTGACGTGCTATGAGGAGAAGTTAATTTGAAGTTACATTTATGTCCAGAAGCAAAACAAGGGGCCATCTCAGAATTTGCTCCAGGATCAGGGAAACTGGACGAAAACCTGATCGAGATGAGGGTCATTTACCCACAGGCTGAGGTACAATACTAGTTACAGGTTCTTTAGAATTATACAATCCAAATGGTATATAATACATTAAATGTCATTGTTAAAATTAATATTATTTCCTTTTGGATGCTCGGTATAGTCTCTAATTGTATAGAAACAATTCTGCAGCAGAAAAGAGTTTACTTGAGACTTAAACGTTTGTATCGAATTTAATCGTTTAATGTCATCTGGCAAGGCGTTGTAAAATAATGTACATATTCATTATACTCTCAGCTGGATGGCGATATCCGGCGCCGACCTACAGTCATCTAGCAGTTTTCCCCAATCAGGTATTTCCCACCAGCGAGGGTACCGCCCTAGCTGCGACAAGCTCTAAGCTCCCGGCATATGTGGTAGTGTAGTGCTTGCTAGTGTAAGTAAGTAAGTAGTGTGTAAGTAAGGGCTGAGGAAAGGACAAGGAAGTAGAAGGGTAGATCGCGCGCGGTCCGCGGCTCGTTGCTTATGTACTGCTTTTAAAACATTTTCACAAAAATGTTAAAAATAGTTTTCTCAAAAATAGCTCTAAATGTTTTGAGTAAACTATATCCTCGAAAAAATAATGAAACGCTTAAAAGACTGGTAGGGTGTCTCGTTTCTTTAAAATCCTTAATTTTTTTGAAAATTGCAAAAGTTCAATTTTTTGGCGTCTTCCTACACTGCAATATTGAAATCTCTTAATGAAACATCTTTTTCATCAAATAGGGCTTCAAATTATTTTTTTAACTTTTTCCCTCCCTGAAAAAAATTGGTTCTATTTGCATTTTCAGCGAACTCTAATTTCGAAAATTGCAAAAAGTTAACATTGCGAAACTACAATATTGATGATAGAGATTTTTGTCTTAAATGAACTTCGTTAAAAAAATATCTTTAAATACATAGGGTCGTGTAAAAGTTTTATAAAAAACAATAGTTTTCGCGTAATTTCTGTTTAAAATTATTGCAATTTTAAAAAAAAAAATTTTTCCTGAAGCTGTTCCAGTTTGGCATAGGTGTCATTTTTGTTGAACTCTGAATTTTTGAAAATTTTGAAAGTTAGCAATACTGCGTGAAAATATGTATTGTTGTAGCACCAGTAGTTCTTTTTCCTCATACGATCTACGCCTTTAATATTGAAGTTAGGGACTTATTTGGCAGAGTTTTCTTTAATATTAGATCTTCGAAACGTACAAATATTCGTGTTTCTTTAAAGTTTGTTATACGGCCACAAACGTGTTTTTGAAACCTATCCTACTCTCTAAATATTCAAACTAGACATATTTTTTTAATGCAATATATTTCTCGACATGAAATCTTAAAATCATTTAAGTAGGACGTCTTGAATTGCGTGTTATATAGAGCTGTTTTTGAGCAAAACATTACAATATATTACATTGTTATTATAATTAAGCAATAATAATAAGTATATTTTTCAACAATTCCATTTATATTTAACCGTACAATAGGAGGAGGATGAATATGAACGATATTGTATTTACTTCTCACAGATCAGTTAGGATAGCGGAATTGTGAAACGTACACCAACCCCATTTCTGGAGCATTTTTTCGTGGCAATGTCTAGTGAACCGTTGGTAGGCGCTTCCAGCGCAGTTGCTTTGTGTTTCAAAAATGTATGTGGGGCTTTAAAACATTATATTTTTTGCGTAATATTGAATTATTTTGTTTGAGAGATGGCTGAAATGTTAGTAGGATAAAAAATGAAATATAATAATATTGGGGAGCCATGACCAATATCACGACCAGATATTTGCTATTGAAACAACACTAGTTTCTAATTTAGACGGAGTAATTGGTAAGAAAACGTTTCTAATTGCCATAATAGTATCTTCACTCATACGTCTCATACTATGTACAGATATGTGTCGTATTCTTGTACCATACGTTTGAACAAAATCATTAAAACAAATAGTGACGGAGTGATGAGAGAGCAGAAAATATATTAAAAGATGATATAGTATGACAGGAATGGAAATCAACAATGTGTGAAAGAAAAATAATTGCATACACATAAATTAACTTTATTTAATAAACATGTTAAATAATTTTAGGTAGTTAGACAAACACATCACACGATTCCACCAAAGTGATAGCAGGACTGCTTAGCCGGCGGGAGGGTTTGTGGACTGCAGCGGGGCACTGCCCGTCGTGTTCATGAAGAATGACCCAGAAATCCTAGAAGGCACAAGAAAGAAACACTCAGAATTATATTTTTTTAATATCGATAATTTTTGTTTATATATATTTTAATTTAATTGTCCCATCATTAATTTTCAGCAAATGATCATTTTAATAACTGAATAGAGATTTAAACTGATTGAACCTCCAGATTCGATCCCCTTAATGCCAGTGACTTCGTTTTTGTGTCAAAATAAAAAGAACATTTATTAATGTCGTTGATGCATTACTACATTTGGTAGTGTTCATTTTGTGTGATTCTAAAAAATGGTACTTTACTGCAGCGTCTTAATTTCTTCTGGATCTACGATCTTCATTCCAGATTTTTTGTTCTCTCTTGATTCATTTAGCAAAAACAATTTTTGCGTTGGTCTTTTACTTTACTTGTGGGAGCTAAGTATTGTATTGTATTCCTCATCACACATCATTTTCATATTACATATTATAGATATCATATTACAGTTTACTCCATACCGTTTATGACTAACACATACTTATCTTAATGTTAATTGTTAGTCATAGTAGTCATAGTTGACAGAGATGAACGAAGTTATACTCTTCTCTGTAAATTCTCTCTCCACCTAATTTGGTGGAAAATCTTGCAAATGTGAAATATATAAATTACCATTACATATTGAAAAATATGTTCAGTGATATTAGTATTATCAAACGTACGTCGATTGTAATTTGCCTACAAAAATTATTATGTGCACTTAATGATTAAGTTTCAGAAAACTCTAATTGTACGATAATTAGATGGCACAGTTCTGTTTTTAATTATTTTAAAAGCATCACCATGAAGTGAAAATGATTTAAACGAAAGTTTCGGAAGGCTGACTTAAGCTCAGCTTGTCAAATAATAGTTTTCCACACGGCTGAAGTGTAATGTCATACATACTGTATGTTTTCGCGATTATAATCGTACGTTTCTGTGTTCATCGTTATAGATATAACTGCGGGTCGACAGTCATAACTTTATTTCCTTTCTCAGACATACTCGTCAAAGTTCAACGGTAAAATAGTTCCGAAATTTTACATGTTCTTACTGTGCATATGGCGGTTACTCTAAGTGAATAAATACTCTCAGTGGTGAGACTTGGGTAATGGCAACTGATATACCCATAAGGAGCGGCTGCTTGAAAAATTGCCATATTGACACCGGGTGTAGGGTTTGAATTCGGAAAGCATCAACTGTTTATTTTATTAGTCCCTTAAGTGTAATAAGAGATATGCTCCAAAAGATAGCGATGTTCCTTCCCTCGTGAAAAATGATATCCCCAAATTAGCTTCGGAATTTTTCCCTCCTCTGGGTAAGCTTTAAGCTCCCGACTGGTTTCCCGACCAGTGTGGAGGTTCAGGCATGTACGTGTGTGTAAGTAATGGGTGATGTTAGTACAAGGAAGGGGAAGGAAAGATCGTGCGAGGTCCGTGACCCGTTTGTTAGGCAACTACTCTGGCATTCGCCTGATCTTGATCACGAAAACTACCGATCAAAGGACCCGGCCGCTTGAATTCTCCTCCAAACAGCAATGAAATTCGACCTAGCTTTGTAGCTAGTGTCGAAAACTCCGCCACCGCCGGGAGTGGGACCCTAGGATCTCCCGATCAGACACTACAGTGACATCAGTTGATTCCCCGGGCCACTTCAGTCGGTACCTCGCTCGAAAGAAACTAGTAATCTCTCTGCAAAATGAAGGGAGCGAATACTCACCGCTGCGAGCACTGCGGGAAGAAGAGGACGGGGCTGTCGCCGCCGTCGTCGTCGTCGTCGCAGAAGCCTTCGCTGAAGTCCTCCCAGGAGTCGCAGCGGCGCGCGGGGAAGGCCATGCCGTTGCGCACGGCCGCCGCGAAGATGGACACGGCGCGCACGTGGCTGCACGACCCGATCGGAGTGCCTGCGCCCGCCCCACACAACACACGTGTATTACGTATTTATTAGATCGCTGGGGATGGAGATACCATCTAATATTTAAGTTTGGTAAATAAATGATGTTGTCTGGTATCAACAATTTATTTTTCGACTACAATGATCGTTTCGATCGCGTAGCGATCATCATCAGAGCTAAAATTGAAATAATTCTAATTTTGATCATTAGCAAAATAAATTGTTGATACCAGACAACATCTTTTATTTAACGTACTTACACATGTATTACTTGCTTCAAGCACGGGGAGTTATTTGTATTTACAATCTGTTACATCCGAACAATAGGCAAATCTTTTGACAAATTTTACAGTCGCATGAAAAGGAACTGGGAATTTACAGTCCTTCATGAGTTTATTTTCTGTAGTAAATAAATATAAATAGTATACACTATTAATATAATAATACACGACAAATGTGTTAATTTTCGGGTATAATCATGCATCTTGTATCAGATTTCATCCTCTGGATCTCATAAAATACACGAGGAGTAGAAATAAAATTTTAGAAGTCCAAGAATTCCGTCTATCTTTGTGTAGATAACTGAATTTGTTTTCAAACTGCAAGTTAGAATATTCCATTTATTTATTTATTCAAGTTAAAAATATATGTGATGTATAGAGAAGAAAAAGCATCGGCTAATGTTTTCTTGATATCCAGAATTTCTACCCCTTTCTAAACATGGTTGAATTGTGCATAAAGGTACCAACTAGTGTAAATTTTGAAAACTATAATTTTTTTGTCCTGAGCAATATAAAACGTATTTGCATGGTCATGCGACCTACAGATTCAATTTTTTATTAGTATTTCTGACCAAATATCCTGCTAAACTCCCCCACAAATGGCAAAAAGAGAGCTCAGAGGCGATGCAACTTTACGATAGTTTTACGATAATAACTAACTCTTTGCTCACCGAAGATAAAATTATTCAACTCCTTAACGAGTAAACTCGGTGGTTACACAAAATGGCACTATGTCAGAAGCGCACCACAAATCATATTGACCATTTACTTGTTTTTCCTTAATATCCTGTTTAAGACACTGAAGATGAGGTAAAATATCTCCAAACATGTTTGTCTGTGTAATGCTGTAACTGACGAATAGTTAGTTAATAAATTCTGTTGGTGGAAGATTTATTTTCCACCGTTGTGATTACAGTCCCCTAAGGAGTAATTCGGTGTCGTTCTCTGTTTTGATGCAGTCATGTAGTTTTTGTAGTGCACCTGAGCTTGGCTGTCCGGGTGATGCCGCGTCCGGGGTGAAAGGGGGCTGGCTGTTTGCCGACGTTTCGACCATCTTGGTCGTGGTCTTCCCAGGCTGGTGTGCGGCGTCACCCGGACAGCCAAGATCATGCACATGACTGGCCGCGGAAGCCTACGACTTCATCATGTAGTTAGATAGCTAAAAATGATATCGAAAACTTGGCAGTATTAAAACACTAAAATTGGGTAATAACAAAAGGCGTGTGTGTATTACAGTTAATTCGGTGTTTGTGCAAAGAGAGTTAAGTCATAAGAGTGGTTTTAAACAAAAGTGTAAGTAAATTTTCTTGAAATAATTCAGTGTTCCTATTATTTAACAATATAAGATTCTACAGTTTTAGTTGTAGATTTGCGGTGTGGATTTAGAAGTCCCTAAGCCTTGCTTTGAATGTGGGCGGCTGGGGATGGAGGCTCACCGAGGAGGTCGTAGCGGTCGCCGGGGCAGCCGGGCTGGCCGTGGTAGCCGCTGTTGGGGTAGAAGTCGGCGTCGCCGTGCGAGATGAGGCTGCCCAGGCCGCAGATGTCGGAGTGCAGCACGATGACCCAGTCGGCGTCCCCGCGAGCCAGCCGCTGCGCGCACCCGTAGTACTTGCCCTCGAACAGGGGCGCCGCCGGGTCCAGCGCTGCCAACGCACACACACACACACACTCAGCACTAGGGTTGCACACTTGAACGAAATGTCGCTTCTTTCTTTTCACTTTAGAACAATGCCTTTTAGCATCGACATTAATTTTAAGAAAATGACCAAAATACTTTTTTTTTTCATTTCGACTAATAAGACACTTTTTTATCTTTTACGTCATTTTTAAAGCATTTCTCGACGACTTCATCGATTTTAATGGAACTTCCTTCAAATAACACTTACATGATGCAATAAATGTTCTCTACAGAATTCCTGAGTAGTCTACTCGATTTCTTCGCCCAGAATGTCTGTGTCTATACATCTATTTATCCTCTCTGTGGCACTGTAGCCTATGACGGCTTGGCTATGGCATCCTATGGTGCAGCCTCAGTGTTTCAAAGATATGAAGGATGAGGCCTTAAGGAGCCATAAGGGGCCGTGTGGGAGTCGCCCAGCCAACGGGAGCGGGGCACGATGGGGAAGAAATAGTGCTGAATAGTCAATGGCCTATTATTTAAGTGACCACTTCCGCATATACCTAGATTTCATCGTAGAAAACTACAGAGTTACTCTCCGATCATAGTTACCCGCCTCCAGAAATCCGTCCATATAAAATTCATCCAGGCTCTTTCTGTACCCTTTTGTTTAACTTTCTAAAATCCAGCATTTGGGACTCACACCTGAGACTTCCCGAATCCATTCCAAGCATCATCGGCGGGACTTGCTACTTCACACGCTCCCGGTAAGATGTGTGTCTGCACTCACCAATGACGCAAGGCACTGTGTCTCCCAGGGCTTTGAGATGCCTGGAGATGTAGCCTGTCATTTGCCCTCCGAGACTGTGGCCCGACACGAAGCAGAGGCTGGCGCCGTCGTCCAGCATGCCCTTAAGGTCCTGCGCCACGGCCGAGGCCACGTGGTCGATGAGGTCCACCGTCAGCTCGTAGCTGAAGTTTGTCGCCGCACTCCAGTCCACTAGCACCACGTTGTACTGGTTAGCTTGCACTAAAGCTGAAACAGAACGCATTCCATTAGCCTCCCAGCCAGGGACGGTAAATACAAGATGAGATAGTAATGAATACTGGCTGATTGATTATTCAGGCTCACATTATTTATTCCGTTTCTACAATGTATATTGTTGCGTAATGCCTCGGATTTGAAAATATGTCCATTGCACACCCTCCACGTTTTACTTTTTTCACCACACGAGGCGTCCAATATTGTTAGTAGTCTTTCTGTCATTCAGGACGAATAATTCTAGCTAAAAACACACGTCATATTGATTCTAATAATATCAGCAACACATAATGTCTTCACAATTTTGGTCTCATATGCATAGATTCTCATAGAAAGTGTTTTTTGTTTTCAATTTTGTCGCAGTCGCAAAATTAGTGCGCATTTTAACGACTCAAAGCGCTGTTGAGGGAGCGGAAGGGATTGCAGATCATTTGCATTTGTTTTAATAGCGAGTGCACTGCTAGACTGACGGCCGACTGGCAAGGGCAGCGGGATCACGCGCGCGCGATACAGAACTGTCGGAATTCCGTTAATTCACAAAGTTTCTTTTATCGTTGTTAAGGTGACTATAAGAAAAAGTATATATTTTCTTCGCCAATAATTATAAATATCTTAAGTGCTTCCACTCATACTAAGGCTTCCCTTTCGGAGATCATAAACGAGAAAAATTGACTAGAAACAGATGCACAGAAATTAAGTATTTCTAAGGAAAATGACAATAGAAACCATTATTCATTTAGATGAGGATAATGCTGTAGTGTCTTTTTAATTTTTTTCTTATTAAGTACTTATGAATAACAGAGAAAGTATTGAAATGTAAAACCAGTGCGAAGAAAAAAATTGTTGAGTGGAAACAATTTTGTAGTTTCATATAGTATTATAATATTGCGTGGACGTTTACAAATAAACAAGAAAGTATGTGCCCTTGATTTCCGCCTGGCCACAACACAACCAGGGTCTTAAGTCACTGCTAATCACAACTCATACCCTGGTGGAGCAAAAATGGGATCTGCTAATTTATCGATCAATTGCTCCAATCTCCTTTCCACGACACAAGGAACACTGAAGATTTTCCGGTCATTAAACATACACTGCTACCAGATGGGAACAACGAATGTGAAAGCGCGCTATCACTTTTATTGACGCTGATATTTTACAGTACATAAAACTATAAATACGTAAAAGATTCAGAATGATCACTAGATTAAATATCAATCAATTCAATAAACGATGATCCCAGTCATGATTTCAAATTTTTAAATAGACGTTTCGATCTCTAAATATGATATCCTCTTCAGTACATAACATATTTGAAAATACATAAATACAAAAACTTTTTTAAAATTATTTCTTTAAAAAAAGTTGTTTGTGTGAGTGTGGGAAAAGGAATGTGAGCTGAATGCCTTACAGCCCATCGCAGATGTACAGATTAAGATGGCCGTTATTCCAGCAAAGTGGATTCTTCTAGAAAGAAAATGTACACATTCAATTACTTAAAAACTGTGGAAATGCCATTCTAAATTCCCACGAATTGACAACTTGGGATAGTGAATTCCAGATTAATTTTTTCGATTGTCTGATACTTGAAAAAATTAAAATATTCTTACTTTCCAGATTTTAAATAGTAGGGGCACAATACATCTCTCAATAATGGTTTCATAACGAATGTCTGTTAGTTAAAGCAGTACGAGATTTGTTCTTTTCGTGTGCTATTAGATAATTTTTCTTTGTGTTATTAGATAATCCTAAAATATTAAAATTGAAACCATTCATTATTGCACTAATGACACAACAACTAAAATGAAAAGCAGCAAATGTAGTACCGGGAAATTAAATAGCCTTGGGTATGTGCTTCGTGACGCATTTCGTTTACGAACTGATATTATCACTCATGGAGTGCCTTTGTTCCTACAATAATACCTTTCAGAGGTATTATAATTAGAAAATGCTCTATAATCATTATGATAACTGAAGTCTACGGGGAGTGTCTCGTCAGAGAATCCATACGATTTGATGTAATGTCCACAAATAAGACCACAATCGATTTTCGCCATTTTCTTAGATCACGTTGCCTTCCACAAATATTTAACTCCTACATTTAGTTGTTTTTTTTTAAATTTTAATTTAGTGATTTATGTTTATGAAAGTCTGAAAGTTTGTGTGAAAGACTATGTATAAAAGTGAAAGTCTATGTATGAGATTTCTGTGTATAAACAAAATAACCAAAGACGAAACGGCAAAAACCACAGCAGTCTAGAGTCCACAGTCCAGCATAAACTATGCCTGTTTATGTGGAAATATGCAACCCCTGAGACGTCAACCTGCTTGTGCTGATGCGCATTAAAATGCAATAAAATTTTTAAAAAACTAGTAGTGCTACAGAATAGCAGAGACTTTCCCGTATTAGTTTTCTATTTCCTTTTGTCTCCGTTAGCTATTCGAACTTGCCACATATTCTTGCGTACTACCATCTATCGCAGCCCAAAGTACATTTTTGTACATTTTACTCATTTTTCGGTTTCCAAATTGTAGAGCGGACATATTGTTTTAAGATTATTAAAGAACAGTAAAACCTCGTCATAGATGATAATTTTCTCTGAAAAATTTGTAGCCATTTTTAAAAAACAAGTTTTTAACCGCCACTGTAAATTCGATATTTCAAGCTATTTCTCACAGAAAATGTTTGAGTTTTCGAAAAACTTAAATTGAAGTCATTTTAAATACTTTAACTCACAAATACAATAGTGTTTGAAAATTGTTAAAATGTTCATATCAACTGAAAAAAAAATTTCAAAAAAATTACATTTGTATAATTTTTGAAAAAACAAAAGAGTGCCCCAAAATGAACTTTACCTCATACTAAAGATTGCAATTAGCACTATACGTTCGAAAAGTTTTAAGAAAAAATTTGAAGCCGAAGAAGCTTTTGAGTGTTTCTGAAAATGCGGAGTTTTTAGCTAGTTTTCACAGAAAACTGTAGTTTTCGAGAAAATTTATGACATTATTTACAGCACATGTAGTCATAAATACAATAATGTGAACAAGTTGTGGCCAATATAAATATTAACGACATAACAGGCTAGAAAAAAATTACATTTTTTAATATTCTTAAAATAAAAGAATAGAGTAATATGGCGTTTATATCATCTTCGTAGAGTACATTTATCATTATTCCTACCAAAAGTTTAAAGAAAAAATTTGGAGCCATTTTGGAGAAAACCATGTTTTTATAATTTTTTAAAATTGCACATAGTGCACACAATATTGCGCGAAAACTACAAAACAATTCAAAAAAATGTACATGACTTTAATAAAAGAACTCACTGTGGACAAGTTTTATTTGAAGAAAAAATCTCTGTCTTCAATTTTGTAGTAGTAGGAAAACGGCGGAAAAGTTTTGAAATTTTCTAAACTTTAGTGTTAAACATGAAATTCGGACCTCTGCCATCTTTATAATTGTATTTTAGTCTATTCAGACAAGAAATTTAAAGAAAAAAATTGGTGCCGTTTTTGAGAAAATTTTGAAAATGTCCGGGGGGCTCCATGTAAAGTACCAAATTTTTAAGATATTTTTTTTTTAATCTCAAAGATTTGACTCGATCCAAATCGACATCGGTTTCTTCAATTTGATAAAAATACTACGTATAGTTTAGGCGTTAATAGTGTTCACGGACAGACAGACAGACAAACTGACGGACAAACAGATGAACGTTTTGAAAAAAAAACACTTTTTCAGTATCTGGGGTCCCCAAAAGTGTATATCCGTTGAAATCTCAAAATCGATTTTCCGCATCATTACATAACTTTCCCTATACTACCTCATTAACAACAATATGTCAATAAATAATATATTAAAATGTTTAGACATTTTTGGAAATTATTTTAAGATAAAATCAAGATTCGATACCTTTCGGGTGGTGAAAGTACACTTTGTTCTTGTTGTGTTGGTTGTTCCTGTTGGATCTTCAGTGAAAGTACACTTTGTTTGAATACATCAAATAAAAGAGTAAATCTGTAAATTGATAGAAATTGGAGCAAATAACGACACCTCTGTATCGAACCTAATCGCAACCAAGTTCCGCCAATGTCTCCTGCGACGAAGTTGAACTGCAAAAGTCTTTCCGTGCAAGCATATGGCCTCCAGCGTCTTATCAGTGGATGTCTCGGAAATGTAGTGTTTGTGCAATTGATGTGCGGATGAGATACAGATTGCATCGGATGGATATCCGAGATTGAGACTAAAATGATAAATTAATTACTTATTTGTTATTTTAAGAAGAACATGTAGGGGTTGAAAGCGTAGACTTCCGTGACCGGCGTCATACTTCACTGTTCGAAAGATACTGCTTCCCAGGCACAGATACCAAGGATTCGGCCTTCATGCTGCGACCTTCCTTGCGCGAAACGAGGCATTTTTCTCAGGACGAAACTTCGTCATCTGTGACTAGAAAGCGGCGTCTCTCGCGTAGCCAAGTAGATACATCGAAGCGAAAACCTGGAATGACTTACCCAGTAGACAACAACTTCGCAAATTGCCTTCCTTCTAATCTCGAAGTGCAATTATACCCGAAGAGTTATTAGCTACTACGCAACAGAGAACTGCCATGTGACTTTGCGAGGCAATAAAATAATGAATAATGGAATACAATATTATAAAGGACACGTAGTAGAGGCAAAGAAGCAATGGATCAGTATCTGAGCGACCTTGAAGCCAAAGCCTTAGCAGTATTTATAGAAGGGACACACACTTTCGGGTTACTTATAAGTTTATTTCCTTTTTACACTTCCGGTCAAATGCAAATGCCTGTGGCCATTTTTTCGGGAAAAGTTTTGTTATTACCAAAATTCTGAAGGTCTGTGTCAGTAACCCCGTTCCTAGTGAGCTGCCTTATAGCCAATGTAGCGACCACCCCTTCAACGACCCTGTTCATGTTGAGGGGATGGTATAGATGATGAGCTGCTGAGCTGACGATATGGGGCGCGAGAAACTCGTTCGGGCCAAACTCGGAGATAATGGGATCCTTCGGGTTACGATTAAATAAAAGACTCGTAATCATAAATGAGCAAAACTGTCACGTACGACATGTGCGGCCCCCTTTTCAAATATCGCTGTGTCTTCGATTGACAGGTAAAACTTATAAAAGTGACAAGTATCTTGACCCTTTATAAATAGTACTGTGCTGTCAAAGAACTGCAAGGTTGGCTCGAAACTGTCCTATTGCTTCTCCGTTCATCCACAACATACGCTGAATTTCTGGGAATTTTTTCTATTGGTAACCTATGGATTACCGGCAATACCAACTAAGTTTGATCCCCGCATCCTCAATTCTACAATATATTCTAAACGTAATCATAATTACAATTAAAATGGTATCTTTAGCCAGTTTGTAAATTCTAACATTTTTCCAGACGTTAAGTTAATTGAACGGTTAAGATTCTAATTGTACCTGTGATGGCGTCCCGCGTGTAGATGTTGTTGGGGAAGGAGGTGTAGCCGAAGGCGTACACGGCGAGGCAGCGGCTGCGGTTGAAGTGAGGGTCGCTCACGAGGCTGGAGGCGCTGCCCACCGGCGCCGCCACGTTGTCGTTCTCGCCGAGACTGCAACACGCGCGCTCATTCATTGACTCTTTATTAGCAATTCCGGGTGCGTCAACTGCTCAAGTCGTGAGTTACGTAAGTGTAGTGCGTGTTTCTGTAGCGGGAGGAGGCGGTGATTTTCCCCATGGCGAGATCACATGCCGACTTACCCGTCGGCTTATGCGATCTTTCCCCAAACAGATCTCCCATCAGTGTACCGCTCCCGCAACCAGGTCACCGCTCCGGCCGGGACGGGCTGTAAGCTCCCGACTGGTCTCCCCGCATGTGTGGTAGTGGAGTGCATGTGTGGAAGTGAGAGGTGAGGGTATGACAAGGAATGGGAAGGAAAGATCGCGCGCGGTCCGTGGCCCGTTTGGTAGGGTACTGCTCCGGCATTCGCCCGGTGTCGATCTGAGAAACCACGGAAAACTACCAATCAGAGCAGCCGACCGCTAGAATTCTCGTTCAGGCAGCAGCTGAATTCGACTTGGCTGGCTAGCTAGTGTCAAAAATCCATCCACCGTCTGGAGTGGAACCCTAGGAGGCGCTGTAGTGACAACAGTTGATGTCCTGAGCCACCTACGTCGTCACAACGCGCGTCTTCCAAACGTCTTCGTTTCTATTGACGAGAGGCTAGGGGTTGGGAATCAGAATTTCGAGAAATGAATAGTTCTTACAAGTACTGGCTGCAACAATTCCCAAAACGGGAAAATATAAGTTTTGAGTCAAATCGTTATTTTGTAACATTTTATTACATTTATTATCAAAACATTATTTAAAAAATCATTACAAAAGTTCTGTTATGATGTTTAGAAAAGCTTACTTTATAATCGATCAATTAAGTGAATTAACCAGCAGCATAACCAACAGCAAAACAAGAAACATGTTTTCCCCAATATTCCATTTTTCGAGTGGTGACAAATAAAGCACATTAACCAAATATTGATATGCTACAATACTGAAAGGTAATAACCAGACATTTGTGTGAAAATAGTCATTAAAGTTTTCGTGTTTTGGGAACCAAGGTAAATGCAAAACTTTTCACTTACTGTCATCTGAGTTGATTGTATAATGGTTGAGGCGTTTGATTCGCAATATAACTAGTTACATGTTTTGAAATTTCTGCACTTTATTTTCTCTTTATGAGTTAGAGCATAGATTTTTACTTTGCACACTTAAATGTTAAGTGGTATTATTTGTTTTAAATATACAAATTGTGAAATTGAATTGAAATGTACTGTTAATCATAAAAAGCAAAGTGTAGAGTTTTCAAAGCAAAGTCTTAGTTCTATTGTTTTCTTTATCATTAGAAATAATTATTTTATTCACCAAGGCACTTGCACATTCTTTACTATAGAGAAGAAACGTTAGTGATTATCAAAGCATTGCTATGTATTGAACATTTATATCAGTTCATATTTGCTAACTGATGAGTCTTATAAATTGATTCATCTTCCAATACTTCAATATTCAAGTAATGAAAAATGTAAGGCACAATCTGTTAGGTAATTATTCTAATAATTATTAGGGAATCCCTTTCAACTGCAAAACTGCAAATATTTCTAATATTAAAACCTCTAATATTACAAATGTATCTGCTGCACAGTACAAAATACGGAAGTAGCTGTTGTATAAAAATAGAAAAAACACTCACCCATAATACAGACGCAGTTTAACACGCGGCAAAACAAGTTTTGCTGAAAATAGAGAAACAAAGTATGAAATATGTGCTACAAATGTTTTACATTCTGATGTCCACAGCTAAAATAAACTTTAACTATACGAAATATAATGATTTTGAATTAAACGGTTATGAACATAAATTAGGAAAAATAAAAATTCATACTAAACAATATGTTTCTCTTAAAAGAATAAGTTAAATACATTTATTTCAGTATTTAACTTTAATATGAACAATTCTGTAATAAAAATATAAAATATAATATTTTACTTATTTTTCATTTTGGCTAAGGTTTAATTTTCATTTGTATGAATGAGGTAAAGTGTAAATAGAGCGTCAACTGTAACACAATTTGGAGGCTCTGGACACAATTTGAAGAGAACTGTCCTCATATAATCATTAATTACTTCGTGGTTAAACAGTACTGGGGTGGCAGGTGTCGACTGTGCTTCTTCTCGTCACGAAGTGTCCGGTAGTACGACGTGTAAGGAAATAAATTGAAAGTTGAAATACGAATCGTAAAGTTCCATTGGAATAGAGTTGCAATGATTTTCCGTGATGATGACGATGAGGGTCAATGTAATGGCTATGATGATGGCGATAATGACGGTAACGAGAAAGTTCATTACGGAGAGGTCAATAGAAATGAAGATGCTGTAACTGATACCTCCAGAAAGGGATAATTACATGAAATAATGAACTTACCATATAAGGAAATTGACTAGAAAAGCACAGCAATATAGCTGGGATAGATATATAACGGAAATAGAACATGACGTCAAGAAAAAATAGTACATGTATGCCAAGAAAAAGCTATAAAATATGGAAATATTTAAATGGAGGAGTAAAAGATCAGTATACAAGTTATTAAAGGAGACCAATTCCTCCTCTATTACAAGAACGCATGGACAAATATTGGATGTAAGAACATAGAAAACCAAATAGACTCATTTACACCACTAGAAGTGGGCAAAATAGTATAAAGGGAACTGAGAGAATAAAGAACGGTCGCTCAAATGCTCCACCAGACAGCGGCTGAATTCGTCCTAGCTGTATCTCTAAATAGAAAATGCACCACTGTCGAGTGTTGAAGCACCGGACCTCCCGACCGGAGGGGCTGCAGAGACATCAGCAAGGCTGCCTCTGAGCTGCACTCAGCCGGTGGCGTTGGGAGAGGACTCACCGGCGGCGCCGTCCAGCACGGAGCAGCCCTGGCCCGAGGCGCGCGCCAGCGCCAGGTCCAGCTCCAGCAGCGGGCGTTGGATGGGGCTGTCGGCCGTCACGCCCAGCACGCTGTTGAGGTGGCCCAGGCGGTGCATGGCGCACTCGGGCTCCCCCAGCGGCGGCCGCCACCCCTCCAGCCGCCGGCCTGCGCACGCGCGCGCAACGCACGTCGCTTTACTCTTTGCGTATGCATTGCGAATGGACAATTGGGGCAGTGGGACTAAATGGGACAACCGGCAACGGGACCAGGGACCGGCAAATGGTCAAAATGGGACGAGGGTGACAAAGTAACAAAATTGGACAAGTGGGACAACGGGACAAGTGAAACAACTGGACATGAGACAAGTGGGACAAATGGATAAAATGAGACATGTTGACAAAATGGGGCAAAAGAGACAAAATGGGAAAAGGGGGGCAAATGTGAAAGGGAGACAAAATGTGACAAGTGGGCCAATAGGGAAGAAAACGGACAAATAGTGAAAGGGGACGAGGGTTAAAAGGGACAAGGGGAACAGAAATTTCAGAATCAATTTCTTGTTAGGAAGATAAATAATGTAACTTTAATAGTACCAAAACAATTGTAAAAAGTAAATTCTGTTTTCATTTATTCCCCAAAATTATGGTTTGTAACAACATACGTATTCAAAGATTTACGAGCACAGGTGAAATCTAAACTCTAAAGTCCGCTAAACTATTTTCATAGAACTTTTCATTTTCATTTAATAACATTAAGTTTTAATAGTTTAATGTAAAACATTGGTCTTGTAAAACAAAATTAAAAATATCTTTTAAAACTTCAGAGAAAGATAAATTCATGTATCCTCTAGCATTTTAACGGCCGTTGCTAGGACGCGCTCTTAATTTGTAGTTTATATGGTTGGTTGCTACAAAGCTAAGCGCGTGTTTGTTGACGTAAATAACAAGCAATAGCAAGTAGTAGTAGTAGTAGTAGTAGTAGTAGTTGCAGCAGTATTAGCAGTAGTGGTAATAGCAGTATTAGTAGTAATAATAGTAGTAGTTTATACAAAAATGTATAAGAATCTCATGGAAGGGCGCAGCCACAATATACGATTTCTCACGTTGTCTGAATCAAAATGGACATGTGCGACAGTAATGAGATTTTAGAGGCAATGTTGTGACAGCTACGAAACGACCACGAAATATGATTATTTTATCTTTCCAGATAAAAAATGAAACTTACTAAAACTGCAAGGGTTATTTAAATGGTATTATGTGTGAAACGTATTAAAGTGTAGTGTGTATGTACTTGGGCACAACCGCTCCTTACGGACCAAGGCCTGCCAGCAGCGTCTCGGCCTTGCAGCCGTGGGTTAAGGGTACGTTTAGTTAGCACATGTACATCCCTGCGCCGTATTCTGGTCTTCTCGACCTGAGAAGGGGCATTGCAAGGAAAGCACACACTATAATCTGCCCCGACCGGGAATGTAACCCGGGATGGCATCATGGAATTGAAAGCAAGCCCGCTGACGAGTAAGCTACCCGAGGGGCTATTAAAGTACCGTAGTTCCTATTAATCATTGCCCATATACATTGCCTACCCAAAGAGATTCCATTGGTTTCAGCTCAAGGGAGTCACACACTCTCATATTCATCCATGGGCCGCCCCTTGCTTAGTTACAATCCAAAATGGCCATAGTCATGCCTTTCCCTTGGAAGTCAAGTGGTATGTCTCCTCCGGCCGAGCACAGCGAACGAGCCGGGTTGATCGCGTGTCTAAAGCCGACTCGCTCTCGAGGGAGAATGCGCGTTGGGAATGCCTTCCTATCTTATCACCATCCCAGGGCAAAAGTGCTGGTTTGTCATTGCTGGGAAACACGAACACGAGACGGCAGATCAGAATTGTATCACGTGTTCGCCAGAAGATCTCTTTGAAACGTCGCAAGTTAATTGGTGGTACAAAATCTTTAAAAATTAAAATAAATTTCCTTCCTTTGAAAACAAATTATTGCCATTTTTCTGAAAATGTGTTCTTAGGCCAACGACGATAAAAGAAATATACCCTAAGAAGAAAACATACGCATCTGATCATGCGTACAAGCAAAACACTAGTATTCGTATATTTCACACTCATATAGACAGACTACAGTCAACTATACATGGTCTTCAATACAACTCACTGAAAATCATTTTGAAAATTAAATTATTCTTTAAATTCTCATCTACTAAATTGCTGTATGCGGTTTGCTGGCAAACCATGTAATAAATTAATAAGAATTACGAATGTATTATATTACTTACATTGACACATTTGTTCTCAAAATAACTCAATCACTAATTTACCAAAATTGGCGTTTTTGTATTTTCACTAAGTTTAGGCTTGGTGGTTAAAATAAAATCATCCACCACTATTACTAAGTTTAGGGAGGCATTTATGTGTATAAAACAATAATTGGGACACTTTATGCACTATGTGTGCATAAGATAAATACCTTACAAACAAATATAAATATAATTAAAATTATGAAAAAAATATAATATCAGCACGTGACCCATGGTTCAAATCAAATAGACAAGTCTATAAGAAATTAAACCTTCCATTTATCCCCCATCATGTAGTTCTCTCTCTAATAACTTACATTCACACATAAACTCAATAGCTCAATCTTCCGCCCAAAACCTAGGATCAATGAACTATTTTCCAACCTGCGTTAAAAGCAGATTCCCATTCTTCAATAGTTTTTCAGACAATAGCTAAAAATGAGGTTGCTCGATGAGTCTCATATGTCAGTATGTATATAGTACAGTTAAATGTTAAGTTAAAATAAAAATAGTTATAAATCAAAACAATACATGTGAAAAAGTTAATAAACTGAATCATGTAAACATAATCAGTAAATAAATAAATTAAAAAAGAAGCATTTATAATAAATTAAAGGAAGTATATTTTCACATAAGATGTGATGTAAACAGATTTCGTTCATAACTAACTGCGAATTAATGAGAGAATAAATTTTTATTTCTCTTATGAAGTTTTAGCAAATAGATCAATCTAATGTTGATAGCAAATACCCAAATCCAATTAAACTTGTATTTATTTTGGTGTACACTGCCAATTTATGTGTAAAACGTTTCTCAAAATGTAATTGAAATATTTTTATATTTACCAATACACGCACATGGATATCGCAGTGGTTCAAGGCAGGCAATCCCGGTATCTCTATTTAATTATTAAAAATGGTTGTTGTTGTTTAAGAGGGACGATTTGTCGGACCAATGCTCGACACGTTTATGTTCACTTACTCACTTTCTGATTTTAAAATACTTACCTAGTGTATGACACTTGTCTAATATAAAGTATTTTGATACATTTTCGCGAGTTCTGATATTCTCGTATTACTATCATGCGGCATTCTCGGAAGGGTACAAAATTAAGTTCAAGCCAATATTAGCAGCTATGATTATGTCCGAAGCTCTTTACATCACTGAATACAGAATTTACTCAGAGAGTGATGCGGGAAAAGTTTAATTAACTTTCTAAATGATGCACAGCAGCACAGCAGGTATACTACATCTGAGAGCTTGTGGGACAGTGCATCTACTTTAATGGTCAATACTCTTAGTGCAGAATATTTATTTATTTTTCTCAAAGAAATCACAAACTGCCTCAGAAATATTAATGATCAATGTGGAACATGTAATTCGTTAAAACATGTCATAATAAATACTCATACGTGATAAAACTAATAAATGTGCTTAGTAGTTGCATTTTTTTGACAAAAAGTAAAAATGTATATTACTTTTGACTTAATGTCAACTTTTTACCACTTATAA